GACGCCTGGGTGCTGGTGAGCAGGAGGCTGCGGAACTCGTGGAAGCTGCCTGGCTTCACGATGCTTATCGACATCGGACCGATGCTGCCCTTGCTGCGGTACGACTCGTAGACGTATGATGTCGTACGTAGCATGTCATCCAGCTGTTAGCGAGAGCAAGAGGACAGATCACACACCACAGACAGACAGACAGACAGACAGACAGATCACACACCACAGACAGACAGACAGACAGACACATCACACACGACAGACAGACAGACAGACAGACAGACAGATCACACACCACGTGTGATACACATGCAGAGGATGGACGGATAGAGGGATGCGTGAAGGGATGGATGGACGGATGGGTGCGTAGGTGGATGGATGGATGGATGGATGGATGGATGGATGAGTAGATGTACGTATGGATGAATGGGAACAGATGGAAGTGTGAACAGATAGATGAATAGATGAACGGATGAAAGGATGGATAGATGAATGTATGAATTGGTGTATGGACAGATAGATGGAAGTGTGAATGGATACATCATTGGATAGATATATGGATGAATTGGTGGGTTGATGAAGGGATGAATGGATGGATGTATGAATGGATAAAAGGACGGATGGATGGACGGATGGATAGGTGATTGAATGAATGAAGGATGGATAATGGGTGGATAGGGGAGGAATTAGGACACTTCTAAAATATTGTTTGTTTAATATTTTCAAGATATCATGATATCATCCTCGAACACATTACAATCATCTTCATCGAGAAAACAACAACTGATTTTATGACGACACTATCTCTTTTTAGCAGCAAACAGGAATTCATCATTTTCCGACATGCTAACCCATTCACAAAATGCTCGGTATGGCAAGACGAAAAAACGAAGGCAGACAACGAAAAGCTGATGTTTTGCTGCAGGTTAGGCGTAACGTAAAGCAAGGGTAGCCGACATCGCCGGCACGCACCATGTGCTTTTGTTCCGTAGAGATGTTCAGATGTTTGCGCGCCTCGGCGCCTCCCAGTTCGACGAACACCAGGTAGTACGGCACGGACGAGTCGGTGTTGCCTGCAAAACCAGCGCCGATACCAGGGCGCGAAATTAGCACCGGCCCACCGGCATATGCCGGCAAATTATTTGGAGGGCCAGTAACATTGGCAAAACACCGGCCCTCCGAGCCGGTGGTTTCAGACGTGTTAGCGAATACCTATATTTTTATTTATAGCATTAATGAGCAAACAGCCTACATTACTGTTTTACCTCAAGGATATCACGCCATAATTTATCAACATTTTACACATTTGAAATCGAGAACGCAAGCGTGAAACATAACATTGACAAAAACACTTTGGACATCATTCACGATAAATCTGCATTATAGTCTGTTCAACAGCTACTACGCGATGCCGCACACTACAACATTTTGCGGACAAGCAAGAGTGAAACAGTCTTATCTTTATTTTTGAAAAAAACTATTATTTGTGAGGGCTGGTAAATTATGGTGAGGGCTGGTAAAAAAAAACTGCTTTTACCAGCCCTCTCGGCCGGTGCAAAAAAATCTGAATTTCATGCCCTAGATACACATATCCCACGTTATCATAATGCGTACGAAAGTCCATAGCACCCGGCATCCTCAGTGGGGCCTCTCAAACGATTCCAGTCAATTCGGAGCAAGAGATTCGATAGAGCAGAGGTTGAAAAGTGGTGCACCGTGGCACGCACGCATGAAATACCTTGAAGTGTGTCCATTAGCACGCTCTCACAGCACGTGTAGTCGATAACTTTACAGTGGTGCCACCTGTAGGCGCAGTGCACCAACGCTTGGTAGAATGAGTCTTCACTCGTCTTCTCGCCTCTTACGTTGAGCAGCTGTCCTTTCCTGCGTGACAAAACAACAACGAACGTCGTCAGCTTAGCATTAATAGCACGACTTTGTGTTATTAATGCATGTTGACGATGAAACAGCGCAAACATGGCCAGCTTAGGGTTAGTAGCGCGATTACGTGGTCATTTCACTACAATACTGCATACGGATCTAACGCCACCACATCGATTAAGATTATTACGAGGTTCACCGATCGTCATCTTGAGATCAGATTATTTCTCTGAATTTATAGAAATTTTTCCTCATACATGAACAGCAAATGTCTGGGTCTTTGTTACATGGTTTTTGATAATTTGAGCTCAGAATGATGCATTTTGATCTGTAAAACTGGAACGTGAAATACTCTCGTTGCATTCCTCACTGTGTTCTCACACTGTATCCCATACATAGTGTGTTCGAATGAAAGAATTAACCACTATGTCTGAGCATGAAAACTAAGGCCCCCTTTCAGATATTGTCGCTAGGTCAGTCCACTCAGACAAGTTTATACATGCTTTTAATGCATGAATGGCAAATTTTCCACTTTGTGGCACGTTTTTTCAACATGGGTTTTAGAATGCACCTATTACAACACAGATTGGTTAGAGCTACTAGTCATGCTCACCAGACGGATGAGTCACATGACATCACACTCACCTGTAGAGAAACTCGATGACTGGACACTCGTTGAAGAAGCGAACGACCTTCACAATGTCGCCAAACCGGTAGCGGTAGAGTCCGCTCATGTTGGTGATCACAAGTTCATAGCTCTCACCTACCTTCGCCTGAAAGCCAGTCGAAACGTGTTGGTGTCACAAGTAAAAGAAGATTTATTTATGCACAGCCTGTGCTAAGATCATTCTCATGAACTTATGTACAGATGGTTTTGGAATATGTTAAAATCAGACTTTACGATAATACTGAGAGTACTACCGTGAAAACTGTTGCTAACAGGTTAATTACATAGACTCATCACATAATAAAATTGCTCTCGATATTATGTACAGCTATTCTGCGCGTACACTCACAGAGCAATATATAGCTTTCAACATCATCCTATATAAGAATGACATCCCAGATTATGATGGACTTCACAGAACGATATATAATTAGACAACAGTCACATCACAGAACTCGCTACATTATACAAAGAAAGACCAAAATACAAGCATCGCAGCACATCATACTGTAGCTGATCAAGTAGCATCGTTGTGACGAGCCATCGGAACTGACTCACCTGTTCGGCAAAAATGGTTTTCGGCTGCTCCTGGTCCTGCGCCTCTAGCGGGATGAGCTCGTAGAAAGTGATGTTCGGCACCAGCACATAGTGCGGATCCTCCTCCTTGGGCCACAGGTTGAGTCCTACAGCACAAAGCCACAAAACACATATGGTGACAGACATGCACACATGCACACACGCACACTGATGTGCAAACACGGCTTCTTACAAAGATGACTGCCTGACCTTCACAAGATGGCATCCCTAGGTCCTCATTCTATATTCTACATGTAAATAATCATACTATCTACAATTATCTATCCTGATGTTGTTGTGGATATTATATATATATATGTATATTCTGCAAGCGTAAGGCCATCTGATGACTCAGCTACAGCTAAACAAAACCCTATAATTTATGTATAAATTACATCAACATACCGAGGATGACGTCAACCAGGATGACATGTAAGTGACACCTGGCAGCTGGACCACACCCAAATAAAACTCCCACAATTAACACCACAATCAACACGCATGACGTACACCAGAGCACGACGTCATCCACACGCGAGGGCGCCACCTCGCGATGGCAGCGGCGGCGGCGGCGGAGAAGGGGAGCACTTACCGACGAGTGTCTCGGTGGCGGCGTACGCGGGCGAGTAGAGCGGCGTGCCGCGCGTGTATCGCTCCTCGAGCGCGCGCGCGTAGGTGGCGCTGGCGCCGGACGTTGCGCAGACGACGACGAGCGCATGGTGCCAGACGCGGCGCGCGATGCCGACGAAGCCACGCTCAAACTCCAACGCCAGGTGCATCGCGCGGCACGGGTGCGGCCGCAGAAGCTGCGCAGGTAACCACGGTTATGCGGGCAGTGCGCATACATGTTCGAATGTTAATTACGACGTTGAGGATTAAATTTGATATTTTCTCCATTGAGAAGCTAGAATTAGAACTTCTTTAAATTAATTTAAAGAAAATTTGAAGGAAAATTAATCTTAAGAAAAATAGCAAATTTATTATTCATTAATTATAATTTCATCTATCTTATATAATTATTTTATTACTTGAAATATTACATAATTGAAGTATTAATGAGCACACACAGATGTGGATGATGATAAAGAAATGAAAAAAAATCGATTGCCACCTTATTGAGTTCGGCCCTTGTTTCATCGGTGATGTTCAGATCAGGGTTGACTCTCCCCAGCCTGATGTCTGTCACAAGGTCGCTCCAGTTGTTCTCCAGCGACACAAATGCATAGTAGACGATGGAGGCAAAATTTGCTTCAAGTTTCTCTGCAGCAAGCAAAAGTGAAATGCAGCCATTCTGCAGGTTTTCGACAAAGTCACATACAGTCAAATCTGTGATAGCGGCCACCTCTATTGAATGGACACCTGTCTATAAAGGACGGTCTTGATGTTGCCATTAAGTGGCAGTTATAAAGTTAAACCACCTCAATAGAATGCACACCTGCCTAAAAAGAACACTTGCCATTTCCATTGAGTGGCATTTATACGAATTATATAATGAATCTACATCATGTGAATCTCCATGTGGTCAAGAGCAACACTTGCCTATCTATTCTATGTAGACTATGTAGACAGATGGCAGCACTTACCTACATAGGGGTCAAGCAGACCGAATAGTAGATGGATGTAGAGTGCCTCTGGTTCGGTCGTGATGGAAGCGGCAGCTGCCGGGGTCGTGTAGTTAACCTGCAGACGATCTGCAATGTGGAACACCATCTCCCACCTGATATAACAACAGCTACGCCCTCTTCTGGCCAGAATAATAAATAAAGCAAAAATAATTACATCAAGCTATCCCTCCCAAGAATAGCATTGTTAAATCTCGCTTAGTACCGCACACGTGTATCCAAGTAGTGGAACAAAATGCCAACCTTTCCGTATTATTGCTAGCCTCCTCATTATCACGCAATCACTAACATCTCTGTCTGAGCAAGCGCATATTAAACCAAGATGAACGAGTTGCCTTTCAGCCTCAATGATCGTTTACAAGGTCGCCGGCTGGGCGCCGCAGCGTGGGAGCGAGATACGCACCGATGCCAGTGCTGTGAGGATTCGAGGCGGGCCCGACGGGTATGTTGCCTTCTGAGAGGCGCCAACGGGCCGAGTAGGTAAACTGCAGCGACTTCTGCAGTCCGTAGCTCTGCGGAAAGTAGGTCTTCATCACGTTGAACACGGGGAGAAGTCCCTGAAATGGAGGAGCGCAGACGAGCATTAGACAACGAGTGGCTCGTGGCAGACGAACAAAGCTTGTTGGTGTCGTCGTCGGCGGTCATCCGGTCATGGTCTTCACCGAAGTGTAGCATGTACTCAGTATTTCACACCACCAGCAAGGTGAACCTCATCTCCATTTACATCAACAGATATATCAACTTGTTGAGATCTCAGTATGCACACGCCGCCATCATCACCATCATTAACCCAAGGCCATCCGCAATTTCTAAACCTAACCCAACCTTACATCTAACACCAATCTAACCTGACTTATAGCTGGGCGTGTTTTTGTGGTGATGATGATGATGATGATGAAGAAAGTACATGTACTGTGGTGCTAAGGTAGACTTGAACCAAATCTATCTCTAATCTTTGGGGAAAAAATGGCCGATGTAGCATTTGCACAACCGGAGGATGACCTTCGGCATTTCACAAAACAGACGCAGTGTAGTCTTGTTCCAACAATCATCTTTACCAAAGTCTAGCACTCATCCATGCACACACGCACACATTCACGCACACACCAGGGTTCGAATTTTGGCTGAAAATCTAGTGGACAGCAAGACCACCAACTTCAGAAAGTCGGTGGTCCTGCACAAAAGTTGGTGGTCCGCTTATTTACTAGCAGTGAGTAACAAAATAGTATATAAAAATAACCATTGGCATTAACAGCATACATGTAACATAGAGTTGGTCAAATAATATATTTCAAGCTCTAGAAATGTCGGGGGAGCTTCTGGGAAAGGTTTTACTTTCGTTTTTCTCCTCCCCAGTCCTGGGTACCCCATGCATAGATCAATGCTGCCGCACATCCGCAAAGTTACAAGTGCCTAGAATCTTGAAGTATATACACACTATTACAGTTTACATTGCTTCTAGATATCTAACTGAATTAAAATAGTCCACTTTCTACGTAAAGAAAAGTAACGTATTCAATTAACAGCTTTGATTACGTGCGTGTCAGGTGTCACTGGTCGTACCCTCACTCCCCACGATAACCCCTGCGACATATGAACTTATAATATTGTTATGCGGTCATAAAAACACTCGGCTACGCTACATGCTGTAATCGATTTCTTAGACTGTCACGAGGTTTTGTTTGTGTGGCGAATCATGATTGGAGGATGTTTTGGATACCCCGTCTACGTTCAGGAATGGAGCGTATTAGAATGCGCTCCCATTTACAAGTCTGTTTAAACTTCCGTTGCGATAACCGGAGTATTTCAGCGTAATATGAGGGGGAAAAGTGCGGGTCAGGAGGACCGGCAGTTTCGTAGAGGTGGTGGCCGAAGCAAAAACTTGGTGGCCTCGGGCCTCCGGGTCGGCACTAATTTCGAACGCTGGCACACACGCACGCGCGTGCACGCACATGTATGTAATCTTCTCACCTTCAGGAAGAATTGTCCGACGTAAGCCCTGTCGACCGGGATGGCCTTCGAATGACCGGTGGTCGTGCCAGAAGTGACTCCGAGCAATTTCGGCCGATCTGGAAGCATCACGTTCACCTCTCCTCTCGCCGTCCGCTTGATAAGATCCTACGACGGCAATGGAAACGCGTGTAAATCTCCACCGGAGGGCATGAGTGTAGCGGTGAGGTGTAAGTACCATATTGTTCTCTCTCACCGCCGTCCTCACGGTTTTCTTACATTATTCTTTTTGCATTATACAGAGATTGTTATAGGGATTCCTAAGCCTGATGGTCGAAAAAATTTCAGTGAGAGTTGAAAGTATTTATTGACAACTGAAAAAAAAATCTAAACATTTACTGTAGACTTAGATTTGGGATACCGCCATCATGATCAACAGGTACTTATCTGTGCAGCGATCTTACCTCATAGTGGCTGTACTCTGTGAGCGGGTGCTGTTCCACAAACTGCTGACGGTTTGTGATGGTGGCAAACTTGTGTTCCCTGCCATATTCGGTGTTTTTCCTCCTTCTCAGCTCCTTCAGTAGAAGCTTCTCCTGCGGCACGTACAGTCAATCCCATGAGTCAGTATTCAAACATTAAAGTCGGCATCCCTGCCCCTAAGGTACGCGGATGAGATTGCTACATGTGACCTAGTTCTAGATACTACAGTCAAATTTGTAGATAAGAGCCCAGACAGCAAAGGGCAGCCCCATCTGTGTCTTGTATAGACAGGTGTACATATGATGGTCACTCAAGCCTAGAGTGTCTTTATTGGAATGGGACCCATTCTAGAGAAATGTTTGCTAATACAGGCGTCACTGTACTGCAACGAGTGCAGATATTTGCAGTATGTAGTGCAGTGAAGGCTATAATAACTATAGCTATTTGCCCAGATTTCTCTGGCAAAGGATGTCTTTACAGTGAGCTTGATCTTGTTGTGCATTGCTTGCATGTTATGTTGTCAGTGAGTATGTGGACAGCTAGATAAGTGTGATGGAAAACAAGTTGTGTGGAAAACAACACAGCAATGTGCAACACGCGTGCACGTGCACACACACAAGCACATGCCTGCCCGTGTGCGCGTACACACACCCGCGCACGTGCACGCACACACACACACACACACACACACACACACACACACACACACCTGTGTTACTTTCACATTCTTTGTGCTCAGTTCCAGTTTTTTATATGCAATCTTGCTCAGAATCGAACAACCCAGCGATTGCAGGTATTGGCAAATCATGGACGAGTAGGTGTGGTAGATGGACACTGGCCACTTAGAATTCAGGTCCACAGCCAACATTGCCACGATGAGCGTACAAAGAGCCAGCAGAGCTGAAACGTTAGAAAGAAAATAACGATAAAACCCATAACCATGTAAACCTATACAGTTCACCTCCTAGTTGTTTATTTCTACGAGGCGTACACGATCTGCAGATATTTGCGTCAGTACAGATTATTATCATTCATATTGTCTATACTCATATAGCATGACTAGTATAGATACAGATGCCGACACAGAGAGTATTTCGTACACACTGATGAGGCTGAGAGGGTCTATGTGCCCCAGGGTACTGCCGGAACGTAACCTGAGTATGGTCCGGTATACCGGAATGTACCTTGGTACCAGAGCATATAAATCAACGTGATTAGATAATAATATATATATATAAGTGTAAGTGTGCACACTGCAGCCGCGTGAGGAATGGCGGCAGTCAGTATTTGTTGCACATAGGATTTGGACGGAATTTACAGGAAACTGTCTGCAATAACAGGTGAAAGAGAGTATAGAAACATTAAGAATTTGGTAGTAAATAGATTTCGTATTTATTTAGCATTATATTTTATTGAAACGCTTCAAGTGCCTGTGGACATAGACCCTATATGAGCTGCACGCGTGATTTTTTTTCCTAGGTCAATCAAGAACATAGGGCTCTATAGTGAGCGCTGCCATTGGTTGATACAAATCACGTGCCTCAAACTCCTGTTTTATGGTGCATTCACTGCATTCTGACCCTAACCCTAACCCTAACCCAAACCCTATTTAAAAATATATATAACAAATATAATTTTTAATTGTAAAACTCAATTGTTGTTATTAAATTGTTGTAAATAAATCATATAAATATTTGCGTTAATTAAAAAAAAAAGGTTAAACGGATAAAGATAGAAAAATACAGAAAACAGGAAAATAATTAAAAAAAGGATGGGATTCGATCCACCGACCAAGCTTTGAATTGAGTGCTGTACTCGCTCGGCTATTGAGGGATATTGGAATTATGAATTTTGGATGTGCTATGAATATGACGACACTGTGACGTCATTGAGCGACGAAACAAGCTCAACCAATAGCAGCGCTCACTATATGTTCTTGATTGACCTAGGGAAAAAAATCACGCGAGCTGCACGCACACGTACTAGACCCAAACTCCACGACAGATGGCGCTCTCGCTCTGGCTCAATTCTACTGATTATCCTGAGTGTGGGAAGGGGCACTGGCACTGCATGCAGTTTGCACTAGACCCTTTGTGTCCTAATTTAAAAAAATTAAATTGTGCCCTATTTTGTGCCCAAGGCTAAATTGTGCCCTAACATTTTTTTTATTCTGATGTTATTTTATGTGCCCTAAAAACACATCAGAATATATAAATTATTAGGGCACGATTTATTATTGGTCTACACGCACACTAGCTCTAGTAACGTACTGTACGCGGGCTATAGTTACTAGAGTAGAGCTACACCACACGACATTTCCACATTACATTGCGCGACTTTCAAAACCAAAATAAAAACAAAGCTAGGGTAATTTCTCAAAACTACTTACCAAACGACAGCCTATAAAGTAGACCGGCTTCGTCGTATGTGAACACATAATCTACAACTAGATTATTGCAAAAAGTTGCAGCCACAAAGGCTACCAATATACTAAAACTGAACGACAGAGCCATGATCGTATCAAGAGCGCTTGATCGCCATCCAAACACGCGAACCACGCTACTAGACTGACACCACGTTTCTGTTTGAGGACAAAGTCTGTGGTTATTTACGAATGATGGGGAGGGGTGTCGGTCCAAACTACACACCCTTGCCCACAATCTCCCGGCCGTATAAAACTAATCGGACATTATATATGATACACAACTCTATATAAAATGGTTGCTCTATAAATTTGTATGCATATATATTCACGATGTTATCAGTCAAGAGTGTACCGAATTATTTTTACATGTAATTGAATTATGAACTACGGGCGACCGGTCATGCATTTCAGGCTACAACCGGGTGAATCATGTGGCTAAATAAACGTTACCAACCAATGATAACGCCATAGATGAAAACATGTCTGCGCCCATGATGGAGTGTAATTCAACTATGCTTCAACTTTTATCCGATTATGATAAATTACGTGGTAAGCCACGATGCCTTTGATTGAGTGTCTCGTAGTGACTATCATACTTATCGTTTTTCTTCACAAATTCTTATTTAATACCTTACATTTCCTAACCTAACACTGTAGTATGTGCAACAAGCCAACATGCATCATGATACTGATTATGATAATCATAATGATAGCTCCAAGAAACGGTATTGCTAGGGTTAGAAATACAAGGTTGTATATTGACGTCAGTCACACAGCCTGGTCAGGGTTTGCACTGCCCTGCATAGATTACTTAGACACTCACATGATAACAGACACTGATAATGATATATAACGATCACCAGGCAGATCACTGACACTGGAAAGTGGAAAGAATTCCAGTTGATTAATTATATAAATATATACACACAAAAATGTCAAAAATAATGTTCGTTTTATAGGTCAAACCGAAATGCCGTGTCGTGAGGACAGTTCACGTTTCTGGGATCTAGTCGTCATCACAACGGCAGACGAAGACCAAAAGCTTGCATACGAGAAACAAATCAAAGCTAAACGCAAGCGGAAGGAATTGCCACCAATTGCAATTCATGTGTTTGCCGATCCCCCGGGTCCAAAAATAGGTACTGTAGTTATTATTATTTATTCATCGTACATATAGTCTGTGGTTGATAAGTCTATGATTAAAAGTAACAATTCAATGCAAGGTTCCCCTGTTGTCACTTGCAACATATGCATTGGCGATAGACAGAAAATTCAATTGAATATATACTACAGTTAAAACTCAATTTAAAATATTCCGAATTAACAAACAAGCCTTGTGTTTGCAGGCAATGGCGGATCCACGTTCCATGCATTGTTGCTGTTGCGGGACATAGAGGGCAGCAGTGTTGAAAATAAGCACATACTGCTCATTCATGCAGGCGGTCAGAGCAAGAGGCTCCCAAGTGCCACCGTGGTTGGCAAGATTTTCACTGCTCTACCTTTCGGTAGGAATTTAATGGATGTATTTAAAGGAATAATAGGCCCATTGATTATGCAATGTTGACGAATGCTAGAGTAACTGGCACCTTGTGTAGTTAATAAGTACATTACCTTATAGCCAAACGCGTATTAGTTTGTCCAATTATCACTTGCGCTTCATAAAACAAAGACTTAAAATCGTTGTTGATATGATATACGTTATCATTTACGTGCCGGCAAATGTCTAATCCAGAGTCAAGCGATGGCATAAACATTTGTGGGCCCGTATCTTCTTGGACGGCCAGATGAATACGGACCGTGTCAGCTCTGTAACACTGGCACATGGACTAAACATCGAAATTAGATAAAACACACGTACTAATCACTGGACCGCACGTGGACCACCCTGACAATATAAGTTCCTTATCACGGTCCATGTTTACGAAAGTCACTGATGATAGCATTGCTACGGCTGAGCCTAGCGTGCAAATTTGCGCGATATGTACATATATGCATAATACGAGCGCCACCTAATGGACGGTATTGTACTCGTTCCTATAATAATCAGTTTGTGTACACGCCCGCCATCTTTGGTTGTTCTCCACGTTATATGGTGTCAGAAATTGTGTTTTCACAATGAATGCCGGACCGTTTAGACGCCCTAAGGAATTGAAACTCACAGGCAATGTGAGTGAGAACTGAAAAAGTTCAAACAGGATATGAAATTTTCGCTGTCGGCGTGTGGTATCGATGATGCAAGCGACCAACGAAAGGTCAGTTATTGCTCAATGTGATCGGACCAGACGGACTTGAGCTGTATAAATACTTTCACGTGGGAGAATGAGGCGATGAACTGAAACAGAAAGAAGTGTGTGATAAGTTCGAAACGCATTGCAACCCAAAGAAAAACGAAACGTACGAAGGCATTTGTTCAAGTGTCGCGTACAGAATGATAACGAATCAGTGGATCAGTTTGCCTGACTTACGTAGACTTGCCAAATCATGCGGATTCGATGCTTTGGAGCAATCCCTCATTAGAGATCAGATCGTGTCAGGTGTGCGAGACTTCACATCAAAAACGGCTACTTTCGAGAACCTGAGTTATCGCTGGCTAGAGCGGTGCAGATTTGCGAGCTGCTGAAGTAAGCAAAATGCATGTGCAAGATTTGAAACTTGCGACACCACATTCCGAGTAACTCTAATGTCGTTCATCGCTATTGGCCCGTGTCCCGTGCACGTGGTTCATGCGAAGAGGACAACGTCGGTGGACACAAAGGAGGGGCAGGTCTAGGCCTGAAATGATGGAGAAGAAAGCCCAGCCAGGACCCCCATGTTCAAAATGTGGATATGCATACCACAAGTCAGGACAGTGTCCAGCGTTGGATAGAAATTGTAGTAAGTGTAAGAGACGGGGACACTTTGCAAAGTGTTGTAGATCGGCTGTTTCAAAAGCATGTCACTTGGTTGAAGAATCGGACAGTAATGATGAACAAGACGACTATGGGTTGTTCATTGACATGATACACACTGATTCGGTGACAGCAACTCAGAGAAACCAGTGGCAAGTTAATGTGGAATTGGAAAAGCAACCAGTTTCATTCAAGTTAGATACAGGGGCAGAGATTAACTGTATTCCGAGAACATTGTGTGACCAATTGAACATTGCACACTCCATCAAGCCATCCAGTGTGAAGCTTGTTGGCTACTTTGGACAAAAGCGGAAGCCGTGTGGAAAGGTGACACTCAACGTCAAATATAAAGATGGTATATTCCCGACGGAATTCCATGTAATTGACGGAATGGTGGCCAGGTGAGACCTGTTCTTGGACTCCACATGTTTGCACCTGAAGCTCATTGAGAGAGTGTATGCAGTCAGAGAATACATGGAACCAGAGAACAGGCCAGAGGAAATTCTGGACAAATACACAGATGTGTTTGATCATCTGGGTTGTCTGCCAACTACTTATGACATTAAAATTGATGAGACGGTATCACCAGTTGTACATCCGCCCAGGCGAGTGCCCTATGCCTTGAGAGACAAAGTGAAGGCACAGTTGAAGAAAATGACACAAGAAGGAATTATAGAACCTGTTGAAGAACCTAGTGAATGGGTCAATTCCATGGTGGTGATTGAGAAAACGAATGGGAGTTTGCGCATTTGCATCGACCCGAAGGACTTGAACCGAGCTATTAAACGGGAGCATCACCCTATGAAAGCACTGGATGAAGTCGCGTCCAAATTGTCTGGAGCACAGTACTTCAGTGTTTTGGATGCTGGACAAGCATACTACCAAGTGCCTGTTACCCAGCGGAGTGCCAAGCTGTTGACGTTCAATACGCCGTCGGACCGACATCGTTTAAACGCATGGCATTCGGTATAAAATCAGCTCCGGAAGTGTGGCAGAGAATTGCGTCACAGATGTTTGACGACATGGATGGAGTCGAGGTGATTATGGACGATATCTTGATATGGGGAAAAACCATCCAGGAACACAATGCGAGACTTCATACAGTGTTCGCCCGTGTCCGTGAGTATAACCTCACACTGAATCGTGCGAAATGCAAAGTTGGACTGACATCAGTCGCATACATGGGCAACGTGCTGACACGAGATGGACTACAAGTGTCGGAAGAGCGCATAACAGCAATCACGCAGATGGAAACGCCAAAGGACAAAACTGCGTTTGCAGCGATTTCTAGGAATGGTGAATTTTGTTGGAAAATTCCTTTCCTAACCTCTCCAAGCGGAGTGAGCCATTGCGTGAGTCTGCTACGGAAAGATTGTAGCATGGCACTGGGATGAGCGTCACCAGGCGAGTATAGATGACCTCAAATCAGCCCTGACGAGGCACCAGTTCTTGCTTACTACAACCCAGAGGAAGCCGTCACAGTCTCGGTTGACGCTTCTCAGAAGGTTTAGGGGCATGTCTAATTCAGGGAGAAGCCAGTAGCATATGCTTCACGCTCGCTGAGTAGTGCTGAAAGAAATTATGCCAACATTGAACGTGAGATGCTAGCCATTGTATGGGGCTGTACAAAGTCCATGATTACATTTATGGGAGATCGGGCGTGGTTGTGGAAACCGACCATAAGCCATTAGAAGCCCTGCACCGAAAGCTGTTGACATCAGCACCTCCAAGAATACAGAGGTGGCTCATCAGATTGCAGAAATATGATCCTGCAGGTCAGCTATAAACCTGGAAAGCAGATGTTTATGCTGATGCACTAAGTCGAGCTCCATGGGCTTGCCCGAGCAAGAAGGTGAAGAGGATGTTCATGTTCACACAGTGGAAAACATGCCAATCACCGAGGAAAGGTTGAAAGAGTTTCAGCTGGCAACACAACGAGACAGTACTTTACACAGTCTGAAAGAGTACATTGTCATGGGTTGGCCGGAGGAACGGTCAAAAGTATCTGTAGACTGAGACAGTATTGGTCATATCGTGAGGAACTGAGCCTGTAGTAATGGGTTACTACTGAAGTCAGAGAGAATCATTGTGCCAGAGGGTCTTCGTGCGGACATGTTGGATCGTATCCACAGTAGTCATCTAGGTGTTGAGAAGTGCCAGCGGGAGAGCGAGAGATATCCTGTTTTGGCCAAGCTATGAATGACCAGAATAAAGGAGCTAGTGAGTCGATGTGACATTTGTCTGTCATTTCGAAACAAACAGCAGAAGGAACCACTGAAGTCTCATGCGATTCCTCAGAGGCCATGGCAAAAGTCGCAACAGACTTGTTGAAATCGACGGAGTTATGTACATTTGCTTGTAGACTACTACTCGAAGTTTGTCGAGTTTACCAAAGTATCTGACACTAAGAGGCAACTGTGATGGATGCTAAAAGAACAGTTTGCACGTTATGGCCTCCCAGAAAGAAGTCATTTCGATAATGGCCCCAATACTCCAGTGATGTGTTTGCAGAGTTTGCACGCAAATACGAGTTTCAGCATCATACCTCCGCCCCGGAGTACCGCCAAAGCAACGGTATGGCTGAACGGGCTGTGCAGACCTTGAAACGGTTGTTGAAGAAAGCAGGCCAGCTGGACGTGATCCCTACTGGCATATTGGAGTGGAGAAACACCCCCTCCAAGGAATGGCTCACCCAGTCAGATGTTGATGGTCGAGAGAACAAGGTCCCGTCTGCCTGCAACTGGAAGTTTGTTGAAATCACCTAACTTCAACGATAAAACCAGTAACTGAGCAGCTGGAAAAATCAGTCGAAACAACAGCATTATTATGATCATGGTGCCAGAGCACTTCCTCCAATTGCTGTTGGAGAGACAGTGAGAATGCAGCGATGGAAAACTCTGGAGACCAGCTGTTGTGAGGGAGAAGTCAGCAGAGCCGAGATCATTCATAGTCGAGCGAAATGTCGGCAATACAGGAGAAACCGGAAGCATCTTGAAACAGGTGAATCAGCGCGTGGTCGTGCCGGAGGTTCTGGATGTTCCAGATTGGGCGAGAGACAGATGAAGGTAGACCGTGCTATAGTATTTGATCCGATGTAGAGTCGCCAACCTACATGTGCTGGTCCAGTAAGCAGTGCTGTGACTCATAGATCGGAAGCAGCGCCAGTTGTGCTCTACTTTCTGGGAGAGTAATCACACACCGAGTAGATTTAAGGACTTTGGTAGCATGGGCAATATGCCTAAGTCGATCAGTATGTGACAGCTATCAGGAAGGATGCTAGTTGGAAATTAGAGTAGAATAGGATCTGTATTACTTGTTTAAACTTTGAACGTTGAACTGAACCTAGTCATATACAGATTGTATATGTGATTGTAGTATGATTTATTTCAGAAAGTGTAAAGCATACACCGATGTAGTTCTTTATATATTTGATCAGTTAGTTCAAACATAGAAATGGAAACATACATTCACTTTGATGGAACGGATTTGAACATAGAGACATATCGTTAGTACAGTAAAAACATATTCTTAATTTTATTAGTTGAGATTCCTGTAGGAATTAGCACAGAGAGAGTTGGAATTGAGTTAAAGTATAGTTCATACTTGGAAGGGAGATGTGGCGATATGTACAGTATTGATATACGAGCGCCACCTATGGACGAGTATTGTACTGTTCCTATAATAAATCATGTTGTTACACGCCGCCATCTTTGGTTGTTCTCCACGTTATAGAAATGTCCGGGCACTATAAATCTGTATCACACCCGCTTCGTCGGCAGCGGTTTGAAACTGTAAACAACTGATTTTTGACTGCGGATTTCAATTAGACATTCTTAGTAACTTAGCAGTGCATATTGGACAAATCTAATTACGCGTTTGGCTATAAGGTAATGTACTTATTAACTACACAAGGTGCCAGTTACTCTAGCATTCGTCAACATTGCATAATCAATGGATCTATTATTCCTTTAACTTGAACACTGGCTTCAGTGATTAGATTGCCTTTCACCGACACTTGACGATTCTGATGAAATCCTCCAAATGGACTCGCGAAATGTAGCAAATCTGTGTAACCTTTGCATTTTCAGTGCGGAGTTTTGTTCGTTCACACAAGGAGGTATAATGTTTACGTAACCGTGTCATTCTCGGTGTATAACACTCTGTTACGTTAGGCTCACCCATGTATCAGATGTTGGACATGAAGTTGGCCATGTATGCACCGTTCATCCGTCGCATGAAGCCGGGAGTGTTCCTTACATGTGCGGACGATATCGAGGTAGGAGCACGACATCTCCTACTGACGAATCGTTATGGTCTTCTGCCTGGGTTTGTCTGTGTTAACGAGTGAAACAACGTTTGTTGTTTGTTTACTAAAACCCACGAGCTCATCTCACCTTATAACACTTGTCTCAAATCTCTGTATCTCCTGTCATCCCTTACCTTCTAATACCTTAAAGGACAATTGAAGTCAAATTTTCTAACTTCTGTAATGTTTTTATACATAGAAATACATTCAATAACGTATTCCATTTCAAATCCGGCGCCCAATTAGTAATAAACACATGAATAGTAATCTAGGTCATGTGACGTCACGGCCCCAAGGATTTGAAATGGAATACGTTATTGAATGTATTTCTTATGTATAAAAACGTTACAGAAGTTAGAAAATTTGACTTCAATTGTCCTTTAACTGTTTAACTCCCCACGTGCAGGCCTTTATGTCTCTCCTCCTTAACTTGTTTATCTCCCTGCATGCAGGCCTCCTCTCTCTCTCTCTTCCACAGGTGTACGAGCTGGGACGCGACGACGACTGGACCTTCTCCAACCCCGGCTTCACCGCTCTCGCCCACCCTTCACCTCTCTCCACCGGCACAGGACACGGCGTCTTCATACTGCCGCAAGGTGGCGCCACCTCGCACGACGCGGCCACGCGCCCAGGTGGCGCCACGTTCACGAGCGAGTGCCTCGCCGTGCTGCAGAAGCCGACGGAGGCGATGATGCGGGAGCGCGGCGCGGTGCGGCACCACGAGGGGGCGCCGCCGTACGTCTACACGGACAGCGCGTTCTACTTCGATGCCGGCGTCGCCGCGCGACTCCTGCGGTTCCGCGAGCGCGAGGGCGCCGCCGTCGCCGCGTGCGAGATCGACGCGTACGGCGACTTCCTCGCGGCGCTTGGCGCGCGTGCGACGCCGGCCCACGTCCGCGACGCGCGAAACGTCACGACGGACTCCGGCGCCGCCCTGGTGGTGACACGCGAGCGGCTGTTCTGCGCACTCGCGGGCGTGCCCCTTCACGTCGTCGCGCTCAACCGCTCGACGTTCTACCACCTGGGAACGATGCGCGAGTACCTCGGCCACCTGTGCGACGGAGGGGACCTGGCGGGACGTCTTGGATTCGGGAGATTCGTGTTCAGCCTCCAGCTGCGATGCGGCGACGACGCATCGGTGCCCGCCATGAGCGGAGACAAGATGGAGGGACGGCGTCGTGTAGCTGCTAGTGATCGTGGGACAGGTGGGTATCAGGGTGGGGTGGGGGATGAGCAGGGTGGGGCAGGGGATGAGCAGGGTGGGGCAGGAGTCGGTCAGGCCGTGGCGGGAGCCAGACATAGCAGGGTCTCCGTGAAGCCCCGCGCTGCTGTGCAGGGATGCATCATGCACAGCATCCTCGCCGACGGCTCGACCGTGCATCGCCGCAGCGTTGTCGAGTACTGCCGCTTCGAGCGTCCCGTCGTCGTCGGCGACCGCTGCATCGTCAGCAACTGCAGCTTCGTGACGAGTGAAGCAGCGGTGGCGCCCTCTACGCTGCGCGTTCCCACGGGCGCGTTTCTGCACACGGTGCCCGTGCAGCGCGGCGGCCAGCTGTTCTACGCTACCGTGACGCTGCGCACCGACGACGACGTCAAACGCTCCGTCGCCGTGGCGACCGACGGTGGCGCCCTCTCTTACCTCGGAGCGCCGCTGTCCGACTTCCTGCGACCCGCCGCCGATTCTGACGGTGCTGCCACCTGGGGGCAGATTTTCGAAGCGGGCGCGACGGAGTTCAGTCTGTGGACGGCGAAGTTGTTTCCGCTCTCGTCGACGATGGCCGCTTCGTTCGTCTCCGCTCTGTCGCTCCTTCGCTCGGTCGAAGCGGGGGAGCGTGTTTGTCGTTCTGACGGTGCAGACGACGTGTACGTGTCGCTGGCAGACGTGACGCGGATGAAAGACTTGGAAGATCTGTTGCGATATCGAACGGAACTACATGAGAGTATCTTTGCCGGACACAGCCCAGTGTCACATTGACGTGCGGCAAGAATTCGATGAAAATGGACACGAAAATGTGTCATATATTACACAAATAAGCTGTAACATTGATCCACACGTTCATATAGACATATAACATATATATATATATATATATATATATATACATGAATGTGATAGACAAGTAATAATAAGTAATGAATTTTAAATTATTAAAACATAAATATATATATATATATATATATATATATATATATAAATATATATATGTGAAGAAACGAGATAAGAATGTCGGTCTTCAATTGTAAAGTAGCATAATAAAGTTTTATTTCTCATAAAACGTACGAGCATAAGTCAGTGCATGGAAGTACGTGTAGTACACTGACAACTCACACACTGGAGGGGTTAACGACAAGAACTAACTAAACCGAACGCATCCTTGTGTAATCGGACACGCGTGATACAACAACGCAAACTCGTCCAGAACCCACCTATCCGCCCGACCAAGAGAAGAACCACGCACCCTTGGATATTGTCGCCAGGTCCGTCAAGCTATACTAAATTACACATCTTTCACACGTGCGTGCCAAATCGTCGACTTTTTCGGAACTTCGTTGCCAAGCTCCGTATTTTAGAGGGTCCCGACGCTACAGTGATGGGCTAGAGCTGCTTGTATATCATGCCAGACGCGGATCGATCCATACCTGGCGCGCAAATATTTTGCAAAATCGCGAGCGAGCGGGACGCGGGAAACAGGAATCGCTACACGGCGACTCTGCAGGCTGCCGGATCAGAGAAGCTGAGGTGAGACTATAAGGTGAGCGGTTAACGCGAGCAGACGCGACGACCTTCGTCGAACGAACCTAAGCCAGCCGCGCTCTAGGTCGCCGCGTGCGCGTGCCCGCTCCGTCACCGTAGCGCGCTCGCGAAACGACTTCCTAACGAGATTCAAGCGACCTCGCCTACAGCTGGAATGTGTGCCACACCGTACAAAGTGCGCTAGCTAATCGGTTACGTTCGACGACGAGCCGGTGCGACACGTTAACGATGACTCATCATCGTCTGCCTCCCCCTCCCTACGCATGCGGGGGCTGCTGCCTCCCCCCTCCTACGCATGCGGGGGCTGCGGCCTCCCCCCGTCCCTACGCATGCGGGGGCTGCTGCCTCCCCCTCCCTACGCATGCGGGGGCTGCTGCCTCCCCCTCCCTACGCATGCGGGGCGTGCTGCCTCCCCCGTCCCGTACGC